CCCCTTGTGCCCGGTGGCTACTACTTCTAGATACTTGTCTCGGCATCCGACGACTGGCGGCTCATTCTTAGTGCATGTTGATAGGTCCTCACTCTCCCATTTTTAGTTTCTCAGGGTCTTTCGGATGGGGCTCAGCAGGCTGGGCCTCCAGCCAAGCCAGTTCAGGACACACTCATTCAGGATAAAGACTGCGACGGAGGCAACAAGGTTGGGCTTGGGGGACGAGCTCGTGAAAAAGATTTGTCGGTGGGAATCGGTTCGGTTCCGGCCTTAAGTTCACCTTGACAAATTGGTGTGAGGGCTCGCTGGGGGGGGTCAGCTGGGGGCGCTGTGCCTAGGCTGACATGTTTCTCTTGATCCCATAGGTGAAGTGGCTTGGATCGTGGGCCATTCCTTCATATTCTGGGCCAGAAGGAGAGCTGCAGCTCATTTTCGGGGTCAGCAGCTGGGCTTTCCTGAGGACCGGATGATGTTGCTCTGATTTGGCTACAGGGGGTACGGGTAGCAGGAGGTTTGCAGTGAAGTGTTCAGGATTATGGCGGGGGGTAAGAGGCCGGATCTGCTGGTCTTACACTCAGGTGGTAATGACCTCGGGCTTATCCCGCAGCGTCTCTTGGTTAAGCGGATGAAGCAGGATATTAACCGCATTAGGGCGAGAGTCCCTGGGGTGCAGCTGGTTTGGTCAGAAATAGTTCCCCAGCTCCGTTGGCGGCACGCTCGGGATCCAGCAGCGGTTGGTCGCTGCCGAGCAAAGGCAGGTGGGGGGAGCTGGAAGACGTGTTAGCGGGCTATTTCTCTTCTGACGTGGTCCATCTCTCAGATGTGGGGTGGGACCTATTTAATTTAGGATTGCAGGAAGGCTTGGCCAGGGCGTTGTTTCTTCAGGGTGGCGGAGCTCAGACGGCTTAAGGTTTCAAGGTCTGAGCTTGTGGCGTGGGGTAAGGAACTGAAGGAAAAATGGGCCTTAGTTAATATAGGAGTAAGGGGAGTTAGTTGATTGGTTAAAAGTGTACACTGTTCGTACATGGTTTGGTAAGTTTTGAGTCTGTTGGTGGCTCAGAACCTCAGTGGTGTAGGAGTATCTGGGTATACCCCTACCCAGTGAAATTGATGAATGTTGGCATTTTACATGTTATATTTATATGGTTGTTATATGTTGTGAAATGTGTTATGTTGTGGGTCATTGCCTTGATTTAAATATGGGAGAGATTATATAATGTTGGGGGTGTGGCAGGTAATGAACTTTATATAATTGTAAATCATAAGTTATTATTATTTTTATTATCATTAAAGCTGTTGACAATTTTGCACCATACACATGAGTGTCTGTGTCTTATTGGGGGGTTGGGTTTAGGTTCATGTATCCCTCCCCTGCCCGTATAGCGACTATGCACCTGTCAAGTTGTTTTGGTGCTTAGCGCATCCCTTGATCATTCATTCATAGAAAATTTGATTTTGAACATGAAAGCATGGGAAGATGAGCAATATATATTTTTTCTGATATGCTCATTTTCATAGAAAGGACATTGCAAATTTGAAAATCCTTTTCTGACATGTAAATGCACCTGGCACATGTAGACTTCAATACCATCATCCTGTTAACGTTTTATGGTTTTGGTCACTACAGTAAAAATACTTATATTTATTCCTCATTTTCTAAATCGGTATTTTATAAATAAATTTTAGATTATGTTTTTCTGGGAGAGTATGGGAGAGAGAATGTGTGCCTGTGTAAAAAGAAAGTGTGAGTAAAGAAAAGAGGGACTCAGGGTTATTTACTAAAGTGAGTATTCAAAGTGAATTCAAATTGAATTTCAACTGTAAGATCAAAATAGACATACTGGGACAGTTCTCTAATTCAACTATGCTTCTACTTCGGCCTTAAATTTAAATTTCACTTTGAAGTCTCACTTTGGATAATAACCCTGACAGTGTTTGTGCTTAAAGGGAAACTCCACTGTACAGATACAGAATTAATAAAAATCAATGTTTAGTAGATATACCCCAAATTAAAACTTGCATGTATTTAATTATGCATTTTTTTCATTGGAGTCATATCTGAAAACAACATGAAAGTCCTCACCGTCTAACCCAACCCAGACTTTCTGTGGCTGTTCAATCACAGACTTCCCAGTGCAGTTCAATGAGAAGTCTTTACAAGGCAGCTGCTCTGGGAAATTGCTGCCTCTTGAGTTCAGTGCAGCTAAGTTAACCAAACCAGGAAGTAACAGGATTGGTTGTTTGATTGACAACGAGTGGGGTGTAACCAGGTTAATTAATAAAAGTGTTAATTACTACTGAAACCTGCACTTTTTGCAAAAAAGACACACTCTTCACATATAACACTTTTCAGCAAGCTAAAGTGATTTCGGGGACTAGAGTGACCCTTTAAGGGTCAATGTGTGTGCAAGGGAGGGAGAGAAAGTGTATGCCTATGAGGGACTGCGCATATAAAAGATGGATAGAGGGTGTCTTCCAAATCTGTTTTTGCCTATTTTTGCCAATTAGATTTAAGTTTACTACATTTGGTAGTTTAGTAAAGAACTCTGTATGTGTGTATCTTTGCACTTAGCATAAACAATGATAAGCTAACCTCACAAATTTAAGATAAAGGAGTTGATTTGGAGTTTACTTGATATGAAAATCTAGAATTTATGTATTTGCTGTGAGGGTAGTTAAGATAAGAAATTTACTTTCAAAATTATGTTTTGTTGGATTATAACAAACAAAATGGATTTATTTTCCCTATAGTTTGTAAAGCTTAATTACTACAGCAAGAAGTGAGTGTAGGCCAATTGAGTGAATACTCATAACAAGATATCAAGCTTTAGACCATCAGCCCGCCAGTCCACTGGGACAGTCTTATTGTGCCTAATAGGCAAACCATGCAATCAGAGGGGAATTAATCATAAAGTGACTCAAGGTAGCTGCCTAGGGACCCTGGGGAAGACGGGGGCCACAGAACCATGAATTTGCTTGGCACATTAAAGGACCACTCTTGGCACCCAGACCACTTCAGCTTAATGAAGTGGTCTGGGTGCCTGGTCCAGCTAGGATTAACCCTTTCTTCTATAAACATAGCAGTTTCAGAGAAACTGCTATGTTTATAAATGGGTTAATCCAGCCTCTAAAGCCTCTAGTGGCTGTTTCATTGACAGCCGCTAGAGGCGTTTGAGTGCTTCTCACTGTGATTTTCACAGTGAGAAGACGCCAGCGTCCATAGGAAAGCATTATGAATGCTTTCCTATGAGACTGGCTGAATGCGCATGCAGCTCCTGCCGTGCGTGCGCATTCAGCCGAAGAGGAGGAGAGGAGGAGGAGAGCTCCCTGCCTGGCGCTGGAAAAAAGGTAAGTTTTAACCCTTTCCTCTCCATCCAGCTCGGCGGGAGGGGGACCCTGAGGGTGGGGGCACCCACAGGGCACTATAGTGCCAGGAAAACTAGTATGTTTTCCTGGCACTATAGTGGTCCTTTAACCATTCTTATATGAAGGATGAAAGCAGGGCCCCAAACTGGTAATCTACCTAGGGCCCTGTGTGATTGTAATCATTCTTTGACTGCAATACTAATTACATTACAGACAGCCAGGCAATGTTTATCTGTGGGAATAAAATAATTGCTGTTGGATTTGGGAAGAATCCTTCCCCTGTGTGAGGCACAACTGGTGATATATAAAAATTTATGTTGGGAAGTGGGAGTATTTCTTTTTCTGGCTTAATAAATGTAGGTTCTTGAAAAGGTTGAACTGAACTAGTTTTGTTTTTTTAGCATAAACTGCATGGTTCCTACAAAATTTATTTCATCAACCACAAAAACACATTGCCAATTAAAATACATTCTATTAGTTCCAAAATGTCCTTAATTTAATTTAAACTTACATTCATATTTCAGTAAAAATTGCTGTAGGAAAAGGGCATTACATGCTAGATAACCCCCTACTCCCCCGCCCCAAGCCAGGGGAGAGAAGAATCCTAGACTTAACCTACTAAGATCATTGTCTATTCAGGGCCGGCGCGTCCATAAGGCGGCACAGGCGGCCGCCTTAGGGCGCACCGGCTCAGGGGGCGCAAAATTCCAGTGACCGGCAGGAGGGAAGTGCTCCCTCCTGCCAGGACACCTCCTGGATCCCCGGCGCGGTGTGCGGCTGAACTGGATGCCGAGTTGATCTCTCTGATGTGCTCCCTCGCAGGCTGTTTACTGATGACGTCATATTCCGGCTCCCGCGGCATCAGCAAACAGCCTGCGAGGGAGCAGATCAGAGAGATCAGAGCTCCCTCGCCAACTCGGCATCCAATTCAGCCGCACGCCTCCCAGCAGCCCCACTGGACCACCAATGAGAGACCCACGCCAGCTCTCCAGGTAGGGAGGCTGGGTGGGAAATTTTAATTTAATTTAGATGATTAATTACTGTTAGTGTGTGTGTGCATGTGAGTGAGTGTGTCTGTCAGTCAGTGTGTGTGTGTGTGCATGTGAGTGAGTGTGTCTGTCAGTCAGTGTGTGTATGTGTGTCTGTCAGTGTGTGAGTGTGTCTGTCAGTGTGTGAGTGAGTGTGTCTGTCAGTGTGTGTGTATGTGTATGTGTGTCTGTCAGTGTGTGTGTGTGAGTGTCTGTCAGTGTGTGTGTGTGTGAGTGTCTGTCTGTCTGTCAGTCAGTGTGTGTGTGTATGTGTGTCTGTCAGTATGTGAGTGAGTGTGTCTGTCAGTGTGTGTGAGTGTGTCTGTCAGTGTGTGTGTGTGTGTGTGTGTGTGTGTGTGTGTGTGTGTGTGTGTGTGTGTGTGTGTGTGTGTGTGTGTGTGTGTCTGTCTGTGTGTGTGTGTGTATGTGAATATGTGTGTGTGTGTGTGGTTCTGTCAGTGTGTGTGTGTGAGTGAGTGTCTGTCAGTATGTGCGTGTGTGCATGTGAGTACATGTGTCTGTCAGTGTCTGTGAGTTTGTGTGTGTGTGTGTGTGTGTGTGTGTCGGTGTGTGTTTGTCAATGAGTCTGTCAGTGTTTGTGTGTCTGTCAGTGTGCATGTGAGTGTCTGTCAATGAATGAGTGTGTCAGATAAGTGAGTCTGGCTGTCAGAGATGTCTGTGTGTTTGTCATTGAGCGTGTGTGACTGTCAGTGTTTATACACCCCTGACTGTAGCGTGGCCAAGCGGAGTGTACCGTGGTACAGAAACTTCTGTTTCCTGTACCTGGCAGGACTGACAGGAAAAGCTCACTGTACCAGGATTCGCTCCGCTCAGCCACGCTACAAGAAAGGTAGGAGGCACACCAGGAAGGGGAGGGGACCACTATGGGGGTGGGTGGCGCACCAAGGGACATGGAGAAGAGGGGAGAGATACCCTAAGGTACAGGAAAAGGAGGGAGGGGGGAGAGGAACACTAAGCGACTGGGAACAGAGGGGGGTGGGGAGAGGAACACTAAGGGACAGGGAAAGGAGGGGGGAAGGGAAAGGAACACTGAGGAACAGGGAAAGGAGGAGAGAAGGGAGAGGAACAGTAAGGGTCAGAGAAGGGAGGGGACCATTAAGGGACAGGGAGAGGGGCTGGATGTAAAAGAAACACACAGCTGGGCTTGAGAAGGAAAGAGACACACAAAGGAGCTGGGAAGAATAAAAGACACAAAGAGGAGAGATAGGAGACACACAAAGGCAAAAATAGGAGATAAAATACACTAAAGGGAGTCAGATATTTAAAAGACGGGATAAGAAACACAAAAGGGAGGTTAAGAGGCACATGGGCGAATATGTTTTTTTGGGGGGGAGGAAAAATGCATCTTCGCCTATGTACCCAAAATTCTTTGCACCGGCCCTGTGTCTATTGGTCATTATCTTCTTTAGTGAGTGAGTAAAGTTATTATTTTATCCTTATATAGAATGTTTACTGTGTGACTTTTAGTAAATATGTGCCTTTTTCTTTTGTGCACATTGTGTGCTAGTACATAAGTATAATGTCATTATTGTGATTTTTGTATTGTATTAGTTATTTCTGATTACTATATTGCAGTTTGTGTAATTATTGTTCTTGTGTATGCATTTTAGGAATATTCTAGGCTGAAAAAAAGAATACAACATGCATTATTATATAGCATTGTGGACTAGAATGTCTATACATTTTATCCTTATACATATCCCGTTATGCCATTCATGAAAATAAAGGAAAAACCATATGACACAGTTTCCAAAAAGGTATTGACTATTAAATAGCAACCAGAATTGTATGTGGATTAACAATATTACATAGAACATCATTTAATATAGTGGGGGTTTTTTTGTTTGTTTTTTTAAATAAATCAGACATTTCCAAAAAATCTCTATAAAATCCTATTATTATCTATTATTATTGGTATTTATATATCGCCAGCTTATTCCGCAGCACTTTACAATAAAAGGGGAATTTACCAAATGAGACAAAAACAAATAATAACAGAAACAATAGGTAGTTGAGGACCCTGCTCAAAGAGCTTACAGTCTATAAAACAAGCTCTTTAGAGCAATGGTATTTAATTAAATGGACTGTATTCAATGAAGTGGACTGGGTGACAAGCCCCTGTTTTTTTAACCCCTTAAGACTGCAGGGCGTTCTATGCCGTCTTTAAGGAAGTGGCACAGGGCGGCATAGAACGTCCCCGTGATCTTATGTACTTACCTGGTCGCCGGCGATCCCACGCCGGTGATCGCAGTATGGGGACTCATCTGGAAGCCCAGGGAGTCCCCCTCCTTCCTCTCTGGCCCCTCTGGGCCATGTGATCACGAGGTCCTTACGAGGACCTCGCGATCCCATGGACAGCATAGCCGTCCAAGGCATTGCCAGCAGAGGGAGTGCCTGTAATGACAGGTACTCCCCCTGCTGTCTGAAAAAAAAATTGTTAAAACAGTGTAAAATTAAATAATATGTACTTAGAACATATATATATATTTATTATATATATAATCTAAGTATATATATATATATATATATATATATATATATATACACATATACACATATATACACATATACATACACTGTCTAAGTGTATTTTAATATTAATATATATAATTATTAATGACAATATACAATGATATTGACTAAACATATATATATATATAATTATCATTATATATCTATATTTATATATAAAATAAACAAATATGTAAATACGTTAAAAAAAATTCTACTTTTGCAAATGGTATGCCATCATGGGGGTAATTCTCATTCCTGGGCTACCATACGGTCTCAAAGGCAACGTAACCAATCTGGCGAATTTCAATGGGAAAAAAATGAAAAATGTAACATGCTGTATTTGACCCTGTAACTTCCCAAAACACCATAAAACCTGTACATAGAGGGTACTGTTTTACATGTGAGACAGCGATGAATACAAATATGTGTATTTTATTGCAGTAAAAGCAAACCGTATTATGACATTCACAGTTAGAATGTCACGTAGAACTAAAACATTTTTAAAATGTTTTATTTTCTCCCATTTTTTTATATTTGATTCATATTAAATTATCTTCCATTTAACATAAAATATTTAGGTATGAAAGCCCTGTTTCCCCTGAATAAAATGATATATAATAAGTGTGGGTGCACATAATATGAAAGAGGTGAATTACGGTTGAACAGACATATAGTGCAAATTCCAGTTTTTTTTTACGTTTTGTTTTGATCACAACATGTACATTTTGCTCAGTCTTTAAGGGGTTAACACTGCAGCTGAAAACATTGCCATTCTGCAGGAACAGCAATGTTTACACTGCAAGTTAGCCCATTGCCACCCTTAGGATGTGTTATTATGTCCTGAATGGCATGGGCTTTAACGACGTTAGGGCATAACGACAAGTCCTAATGTCTGTGCCTTCAGAGTTTTATTCATCTCCCCAAATCTGATTCTTGGGATCACCGTGCAACTCAGGCATTCCTCAGCAGCCTATCTGTTGCAATCAGAGTTATGTGATCGCGGTGATAGCCTGTTACTGCGCTTACTGTTACAATGTCACAGCCAATGATTTGTATCATGGGATGTGACATTGTATTCTGCCTCACTTCCCTCACTTTGATCTGAGGCGAGAGAGGCAGAAAGATTGCTGGCAGTGATACATACAATAAAAACCAAAGAAAAAAGTTACTTGCGTACTATCCCAAATCCCTATGCACATTTTGCACATTATGCACATTTTGAAGACTGGAGGATTTTTTTAGTATCCAGTTATTTAAATGTGCATAGGGATTTGGGATACTGCGCAAGTAGCTTTTTTCTTTGGTTTTTAGAGATAATTACTGTGCTGTCTCACTACTTCCTCTTGCTAGTCTGCTGCCTCTTTGCCCCCTGTACCTGCCTCTATGCGGCCTCCTGGTTAACTGTACCAGTCCCCCAACGCATAGTCTGGCTAGGGAAAAATATGAATTTAACCCCTTAAGGACACATGACATATGTGACATGTCATGATTCCCTTTTATTCCAGGAGTTTGGTCCTTAAGGGGTTAAAGTGTTCTTTTAAAGGGAAGATCTAGGTTTAAATATGCATATTTTTACTACTTTTAAACAGTTACAAAATAATATATATTTACTAATTTTCAAACAAAATTTCCTCGCTGCCTCAAATCCTACCTTTTCTTTGCGAAAGAACCTGTAGAACTTAATCCTATATAAAGTATATGTATCTGGACATTTACAAACCACAAAATTTAAACAAAAGGAAGGATGCTCATTCTCAAATTATAGTTCTCTTGCTTTATGTAAGCGAATAATAATATTCAGTACAATGTTCTCACTGGTAGCTAGGGCAGATAGCTAGTGTGCCAGCAGACAAATAGTTTAACTTTTAAAAAATATGGGTCTGGATCATAACATTCGGATCTGGATGTCAGCCATTCAGTCAGGCTCAAATCTGGATCCAATCCATGGTAATTTTAAGCCTGTTTTGCAAAATCTGGACATTGTTAAATACTATGAACAATCTTTGTGTTTTGATGTGACATCTGAGTGCCCTATACAGAACCATAGGGTTTTGCTCCATTAGGTACAGAGCCATTTGGACTTTAGTGAATAACTCTAATAATATATATTTCAGCTCCTTAGCTAAGTCCTTGTTCTATTCAGTATGCACACAGCTCCAGAAATGGAATGCTTTCCAAGAATAATGAGCAAAGTCTTGTAGATATACATGAGTGGGAGCCAATTATACCTATATCGCAACCAATATTCCTTGAGTTTGGAGACCCTAACTCTTAAACAGGCATTTAATAGTGAATACACATACGTGATTTATCAGTGTTCAGTCACTTCAAATAAATATATTAGGTTATAATGTACCTTCAACTAGTGACATAAGTAGTTAGGGAAGCTCACAGATGAGTGAAACGCATTTTGGCTGACTTTGGACTTTTATTTGGACTTTCTAAATTACATTTCAATTTTTTTGATTTTTTTATTTAAAACCCACAATATTGTGTTTTAATTTGGAAGCAATAAATTTACTTTTTATACCATTTAAGTCCTTGAAGCCTCCAGGAATTCTTTGTGGGAATTGCCATCCCAGAAATTGGCACACTGCTGAACACCCTCAGAGACAGGAACTTAAGGCTCTTTATAAGGTGAGCACAATACTTACCACAAGTATATATACCACAATTTTGCACAATACTACTCATCTGGTTTATTTCCCTTCTCTCCTGTTTCTTTGGAGGAATACCATCGATGAAAGGGGTGTGTTGCTACCCAAAGAGCATTAAGGCCTATGTTACAGAGCCAATACCATATAGGCTCCAGACCATGTGAGTGGTTCTAGTTATTCCACTTTCCTCACCTATTAGTATATAAGTCCATCTGCACTATGTATTTTTGTTTTTCTTTTAGATGCATTTTCAAGTGTGTATCCTTAAGTGTGTTAATACAGAAAATTGATGGGGTAAGTGAGCCCCTCTATCACTTTAGATTTATACAGCGTTCCCCTAATTGGTCTATAATGTATACCATATCTTTTAACATTGTGAACTGATTGTGCAAATAAGGGTATTCCACTTTATGTGTTTGAGCTGCTTTTTTGTCTAGGCACTATAGAGTATCACTCACTATCTCTGCAAAGAGACTGTTTTTGTTTTTTTAAATATAGCATCTGTTCAAACCTCAAGGATGAAGGTTTTGTTTCCAGCAGGGTTAACGCAGCATTCATCCTTCCATGGTTGTTAAAGTGACAACCAATATGCAATGTAGGATAGGAGAAACTTTACATCAGAGGATACTAAGTTAGCAAAAGCCATATGCAAAGGATGATATTTTACAGATTTTTAGAAAATGAATTTAATGATTTTTATAACCAGCTGAATTTATTCTACATTTTGTCCAACTTAAATAACATTGAGTTGTGCAAATTCATTTTATCCAAATACTACTGGGGGCCTTCTTT